AAACGGATGAGTTATAAAAAAAATTCACCCCCCTCACAGTTGTCATGAAGGGCAAAATTACCTATATAGACCAAAATCACTTTTTGTACTGTGGTGTCGTCTGCCGCTCGTCTGAGGTACCACAATCAGTCTTGAGTTTTGATGCCAGAAGATACACTTTATTACATCATGAACAATAGCATTGATTTATTGAAGAAGAACAAAAAAACAAACAAAAAAAAGGGCACTTCGGAGTGTAAGGACAAAAAGGGCATGTGCTCTGCACAGGTTGAGCCCTACCTGTGCACGTGCCTGGTGGACACCATGGGAAAAGAGTGGGAATACTGTGGGCCAAAAGTTTGCCCTCTATTTGTCCTAAGTAGCGTCCCAGCTGAAAATGTGTACTTAGGGCCCCAGTAGACCTCACAGTATGCCCACACTTTGGAGGGAAATATGGACATAAACCTGTGTAGGGCCTTTGCGACCTTAACAAATAACAAAACTTTGTACCTGCAGAATGCTGCAATATAGGATTTTTGTCCAACAATGTAAGTTTTTACTGTTGCTTTTTATCAATTTAATGCGCCCTTGCAGAATACAAGTAATTTCTTAAAGAAAAAAAAAACTTTCTGACCCCAAACTATTGAACAGTAGGATATATTGAATAGATTTATAAATAGAACAATGACCAATTATAACTACATTAGAACATTGAGTTGATATTATAGATAATTATAGATAAATCAATCCCCTAAGGGGCACCAGTAGAGCTCTGCCTGATCTCTGATCTTCTGGTTCTTCTGCTCCTTCCACCATCCCAAGTCTCTTACGTTACGGAGCCACTTTAATAGAAGTTTCCATTTTAGATGCTGTGGCCTGGCTGCTTTTTGTTCCAGCATCTACCTGAGAAAGAAAACAACAATTAAAATGTAAATATGTATATATAAAAAAAAAAAAACTAAACAAAACCAAAGTTTCTACCTCAGGAAGTCTCCCAGGGCACTAATATTTTTTGTGGAACTTTTTTTAATGTTAAAAATAAATTTATGCTTTATTGATGGCAGAGATACACAGAGAGTGACAAAGAGTGCGAATGAACTGCATGACTAAATGAGACAATGAGAGAGCTGTGGTTGATTGAGATTGAGATTAAGGGATAGTTCATTTACAACATTTTCAAATTTCAGTTCTAAACACATGTTGACTCACGTACATATCTATGTCCAATATGTGTAGCACTCTCAGACACTTGCACTTCCGCTAGCGAAGTCACTTGCAGTCTTTATTTTTTATTTTGTTCTATTTGAACATTTGTTCTATTACTTTTTGTTTGAATCTCTCAACATTTTACAACAGTAGCCAGGTGGTGAAGACAAGAAAAAAGAAACTAAATTACGAAGTCA